TGTTTTTTTTAAAGAAAAATAAAAAAGTTTAAAAAAAAAAAAGGGAGGGAAAATAAATGAGTTGTTCACTCAGATTAGATTTGTGTCTCTGAAAAAAACGTAACCCTTAACCTAACGCTAAACGTAACCCTAACGCTCTAAACCTAACCCTTACCTTTATGTGAATCGGCTTGCTTTAATTTTAATTTTATTTCAATTTTTAATTTTTTTCGTCGCGCTGTGATGACATCAAATGCGCGCTTTCGTCGAGCGCGATTTTGTCCTCCATGCTTTTGACGGGTCACGGTCATGGCATTGTAGGTAGTCAGTTTGTGAAATTTTGCTGCACCCACTGATCAAGTGGTCGACTGTCTTGATTGATTCCTATTGAGTCACATAATCATTCAAACTTTGTTTTTCTTCTTCTACAGTTTGATGGATTTGCAATAGCCCTCTGCCCTGCTTTTCCTGGCAGGTACAACCTGTCGATGTCACTTTGTGGATGTAAAGCATGGTACATATTCAAAAGTTTGCGTGTTTCCAGTGCAAGTTTTCCAGTTCATAAGATTATGATTATGATTATTACTGTTGTTGTTGTCAATACTAATATAATCAATAGTAATATAATGAACACTGTTGTAAATATTGTGATTACTATTTCCTAAAACTATTTGTTCCCAGACAACACGCAGTTTAATTGAAAATGGAATTTTTATGTTATAAAATTAAAAAACGGGGGACTGAATTTGAAACAGACTTGTACAAATGATGAACATGTAATTGCTAAACTATAAATTTTTACTGACATTTGAAGCAGAAGAACAAGTGAAAATAATGATAAAGTGGGCTAAAAAGTTTAATACTTTAATACACGTTTATGTTTTTTCTTTCTTTTTACTTCCCCCCCCCCTCCTTCCTCGCACTTTAACCATTCTCTTTGGCTTCTTTCTTTTCTTTTTCTTTCTTTATCTTATATTTTATGTTTTTGTCTTCCTTCTTAAAAATATTTAATAAAATTATACACACACACACATACACACTCACACATATATATACACACATACATACATATACATAATTTATATTATATTATAATTTATATATGGGTAACACTTGTATAACATAATTCTAAGTCCTATCATCTCAAGAATTCTCAACTGTTTATAACTTGCTGTCCATAAATAGCAGGATGAAAGGCAAAGATACTTTGTATCTCTTACAATCATTTAACTTTTGGGTAATGCCACTGTTGAATTTTCTTTCATTTTATTTGATAGTTATGGCTTCTTCTCCCACAAGTTTTCATAAAAATGGTTGCCATGTTACTGAAGACCACCAATTGACAGTTAAAATACATTTACTATGTGTTATATATCAGCATTTTGCCAGTTTTAGTTTACAAATAAAATGCCAGATTTGATCAAAATATAAAAGGATTTTCAGGTATTAGTTAGAATTGATCCGTTTGACATTTATATTCCGATTTGAATGTTAATTTTTGTTTCCAGCAGCTCATTACAACATTTAAAAAAGGATTACATTACAAATTAAGGAAACCCAGCTTTGTATTTTTAAACTTGAGTATTGAATACTAAATATTGTGGTTTTAAAATATCATAAATTCTATAAGGTAACAAGAATATGCTAATACAATATAGCTTGCCACCTATGGACAAACTAAAATTACAGAGCCAAGTTTAAATATTATGTTTTAAAAGAAATATCATATAGTACAATTTTCTCACCTCATCTCCCATTTGTGGGACAAAAGGAGATCTTCGGAGTCTGATGTTTGTTATCCAGTCAGGAGGTTGAAAATCAGTTGACAATGTTTGGTCTGCTGACTGTTGAGAAGCATTTACTTGTGCATTATTTTTAAAAAAATTACTCAAAATAACATCATGACTACATACAAGTCACTGATTTACAGATTTATAGCAAAAAAAACCCCACTTAATTTTCCCAGGATTACCATGATCAATTAAAAAAAATGTTTGAACTAGACCTTTTGAAGAAAACTATGTTTTACTACACAAGATAGTTAAGTTTTATGAACTGCATCTATAAATTTTATTTTACAAATATGTGCAAATTTAATAACAATATTTATAACATGAAATACATTTTTATACTGTTCTGACCCAGAAAGCAAGAAGCAAAGTCTTGTCCTGCAAAACCTTTTATTTACATGACTGTGAATTCCTTTCATTCACAGTCAGCAAGGCTTAGTAAACATTCTTTTAGAGGAATGTTTATCCCCATGCACCTTATCTCGCTTGGAGCGCTGCCAGATAACTAGTTTCCAAACGTAGAGCAAGGCAAACTTGACCGAGTTTCTTAAAGTCACACATAGAACTTTCCACACTTGAACCAACCAAATGAATGAATTGTTTCCTGCAAAAGCCCACTCCCAGTTCGTTCTTTTGTTTCCTAAGGGAGCTCCCAATCACCTCGAAGGTGTGGCTTTACTCCTAAATTGACCCTAATTTCTTAGTTATTCTTGTCTTCTGGCAGCTCTGTGCATATACACACTGGGAACAGGCTCCAGCTGTTCTTCTGCCTCACTGCTGTCCAACTCACTCTCTGCTTTTAACGCAGAGCCCTCATCTGAGTTTTCCTCAACCCCCAGGACTGGTCCATGTTTCTCCCCAACCTCCTTACTGTCCGATTCTGCTGCTAGTTTTGCTGGCTGCCGGCAGGCTACAACATATATATTGAGTGGTGCGGTAGCCTAGAGGTGGAGCCCTCGCCTCACAATCATGATATTTCTCTCTCTGGGAACAATGAGAATATATCTGCTGAACAAAGCTCCACATTGGCGACAGGAAGGGCATCCGGCCAGTAAGCACTCAGCTCCATTCAGTTTTCCAGACTCCACCCCTCAAGGGATTATGGAGTCATTAAAGGATGATACATTTTTATACATTGTATCCTTCCTTAAAACTTAATTTTGTATATAATTTATGCAAAATATATACTTTTGCACATACTACTCTTTAATAAGAACGTATTAGTTAATACAGACAAGGAATTCAAGGTGAAACTTTAACTGCCAAAGGTAATCTCTAGTGTAAATAAAGCAATACCAATGTGTGTTATGTGTGTATAAAATTTACAGCATTGGGGTAACAGAATAGGTGAAATGACACTTCTGCATTAACTGTTGTGATGCCTACATAGGTTTAGAGAACCTGGTTCTTAGCTATCACCTCCCCATCTATAATATTGAAACTAGTAATTATTTATCTTATGTTCAGTATCCTCACTTACTGACCATTCAACCATCATTCAAAGTCACAATGATGATGAAAAAGGAGTCTTACAACTAGTTCTTGAAGTTACAACCATCACATGCCATCATTGCATCATTCATTTTCAATAGGTGCTGTGTCCCATAGTCACAGAATCACAATTTGCAACCCTTATAGCCAACTGCTGACAAGCAAAATCACTTGTTGCCCCATGATGCCATGCTTAACCAGCAGTGATTCACGTAACCAACATAGCTAAAACTGATGTCATAGGTCAATCAGACATTTGACAGTTCACTTTATGACCAGACTGCTTAGTAACAGGATTGCTAGGCCCAATTGCAGTTGGTAATAAGAGCTACTTGTAGCTTCTATAAAAATTTAACTTAGATAACATGCCTGGAATATTTCAAACACTTGATGATGTTATAGAATTATCGGTTATTTAAATTCCGAGTTTATTTTGAAGACATTTCATTTGCAGAGGTACACTGCTTGTATTAATACCTGCATATTAGTTGCAAGGAAAACTATTTTTGCATAGTTCTTAATTATTCACTACTTGAACTAAGAATAATTTAAGTGCTGACTAAATACTGAAAAAAATCAAATCCCAATTAAGTGTACAGGTAGTCTTTGACTTACTATCATAGTTGGGATCAATATTTTCTTTATAAGTTAATGCAGTTGTAAAGCAAGTCATCACGTGACTGGACTGGGGTTTATTAATTTTTTCCCATGGTTATTAAGTAAACCAATATGATTATTAAATGACTCACATAGTTGTTAACTGAATTTAGTTTTCACAATGGACTTTTTGACAGAAACTGGTTGAGAAGGTTGCAAACCCTGATTGCTGCAATTGGCTGTAAATCTTAGCAACTGTCAGGTGTCTGAATTGAGATCGTGTGATTGCAAGAGTGGGTCATAAATAACTTTTTCCTTGTTGTAACTTTGAACCGTGATCAAATGAATGGTCAAAGAATTACCTGTATTCCTAAAAGTAGACAAAAACAGATAAAATTCAATACCTCGTGGTTTTTCGGTTTATATTTTTTCCGTCTTTTTCTCCTTTTGGGTGGAGAATTTTTTTCTATTGACACTTCATCTTCAGAAGAAATACAATATCTAATGATTTTACGTTGAGACGTTCTCACAGGAGGATGTAGGTTAATTCCTGCATCAGCAATCCAGTCAGAATACTGACTTGAGGAATCACTGTGAAGGAACAATATTATATAGTACAAGTTGAAAACCAAAATATTTTACTGTAGTTTAAAATATTCTGTAATTCGACTAATAGCTTAAATTCTGTTCTGTTGTTAAATTCTGTAAATTCTAAGATTAATTATTTGAAGCTAAACTTAAATTTTGTGAGTTTTTAAACAAACAGATATTACATGATCTATTGTTCTACTGGTAATCTGTAAACATATGGAATTAGGAGTGAGCAAGCCACAATGTTGAACTTTCTAGAAGTAATATAATAAATTAAACTTCACAATCCATTTTAGTCATACTTTGCAGTACAGAAACAAATCAGTTTGGAGCTATGTAAGACATTTCATTAATGTTGTACGTTAATAAAGACACACACACACATAAATTAATACTTTGCAAATATTTTAGATTATTATTCCAAGGAGCTGGCCAGGATTACTGAGCTGCAATCAAAACATTCAGCGGACACAAGACTGTCAACAGCAACAGTCAGTAGCAAGCCATGCAAACAACAGCACAACATCTTTTGTAGTGACAAAGCTGATACAACTCCTCCTGTATTTAAATTCTAAATTACTCTTTTTCAAGAGGTCTCCACAGAAATTAAAATACAATATTGCCAAGTTTCAAGTACCTTGTTTCCCTGAAAACAAGACCTCCCCAGATAATAAACCCAATTGAGCTTTTCAGCACATGCGCTAAAATAAGCCCTCCTCTGAAAATATTGCAACACAGCAGCAGCCATGAGGTGACCATGTCGCCGCCTCCTGCACCTCAAAAATAATAAGACCTCCCAAAAGATAAGGCCAAGCGCTTATTTCGAGGGTCAAAAGAAAATAAGACCCTGTTTTGTTTTCGGGAAAACACGGTATATGACATGTATCTGACAGTGATTTTACCTGGAACTAGCACTGCTAGATTTCTTGTCACTCTTCCATTCTTCTTCACGGGAAGTCAAACTCAATCCATCACTTTCTTCTGCGTCCTAAATTAACAAATAGTTTGAGTATTAAACTATATCCTAATTTAAAGATTATTTATTACACTGATACTTTATCACACTATTTATCATTCACTAATAAAGTAGAATAGTTTATCATGTATATCATGTATAAGGCTTATTGAAAAAAATAAAATCATGTCATAAAATCATTTAAAAATATAAAGTCTTTCTATTCTATATGTGTTTCAAAGAGAATATGTACACAATATTCATTTAAAATAATTCTTAGGTCAAATTAAAATATTAGAATTAGAAATGAAGGTATTCAGATTAAAGCTTAGTACACTACCTCCCTAATTAATTGATTTCAGAGTCAAACTGCTCTTAGAGTTAGGAACTTTCTCCTAATTTAATTACAATTTTCTTAAGACTGGAAATAAAAATATAGACAACATAAACTCTATTTCTGGTCATTGAGGATAACCAAAAAAAAAACCACTTTTTCAAATCGAAGACAGGATTAAGACTTCTTATCCCATGGAGACACTTCCTCCCAAGGAAGTCCTAGCTTTACCTTCTAAGGAGGAAAAGATTTTCTGTTCCTTCAATTGTATTGAACTGAAAAGCAATACATGTAGTTCTTGGCTTACAACCATTCATTTAGTGATTGTTTGAAGTTACAACAGAACTGCTCATTTTTCACACTTATGACCATTGCAGCATTCACGTGATCAAAAGTGGAGACTTTGCAACTGATATACACTTATGTCAGTTGCAGTATCTTGGGGTCATGTGATCACCTTTTGTGACATTCTGACAAGTAAAGGCAATGGGAATGCCAAATTCACTTAACAACCATGTTGCTAACAACTTTGGAGCTTGGTGGTTCACGTGGTTAGAATGCTACGTAGATAATCTGCAAGCCCATGTTCAAGACCCGAGTGCTCCTGTGTGATGGGGTGAGCTCCCATCATTCACTCCAGCTCCTGCCAACCTAGCAATTTGAAATAGTGCAAAGGCAAGTAGATAATTTGGGACCACTTTGGTGAGCTCATTAACAGGGACATGAAAGGAGCTCCCAACTGGGTATCTTTCAGGCACCCGTGAAGTCACCGGCTAATTCTTTCAATCCAGAAGTGCCTCTGAAACGAATATGATGTCTAATAACTGCAGTGATTCACTTAACAACTGTGGCAAACAAAATCGTAAAAGTCTCAGTATCTACTTCTGTCCTACTATCGCAGCACCATTGAGAGTGTCCTAACATACCACATTCTTGCATGGTATGGGACCAGCTCTGCAGCAGACAAAATAGCTCTACAGAGAATTATTAAAACTGCCCAGAATATCATCGAGCTCCAGTTACCAGCCCTGGATGACATCTTCGCATCTCACTGTTTGAGGAAGTTGCATAACATGCTCAGAGACTCTTCCCATCCTGCTTACAATCTTTTCAGACTGTTGCCTTCTGACAGAGGATACAGAACAATTCAAACTAGGACCACACGTCTTCTGAATAGTTTTTATCCCAGAGCTATAATTGCACTCAACAATGAACTAAAGGGTCACCATCAGTGAGCTATTGGACAGCACTACTTGGTCTGTTATGTGGATGTTTGGGTGGTTCAGGGGCGGAGTTTTTTTCTTGGTGGGTGGGGGTGTGTTTTGGGGATCGTTATGGGTGTTGCGACTGGTCTCTGGGTGTTACGTGAATTTCGTTGTATGTGTAAATGTACAATGACAAATAAAGTGTGTGTGTGTGTGTGTGTGTGTGTGTGTGTGTGTGTGTGTGTGGATAGATAGATAGATAGATAGATAGATAGATAGATAGATATAGCTAGATAGGCAAAACTCACTGAATAATGGGGAAAAACATGGAATTGAAATTTATTAGAGAATGTTATCAATGCTAAAATAATAGAATGATTTAGAATAGGATAAAAATAACTATTATTGGATATATTGAAGATGATATAATGAATCATAATATTAATGGTTATATATTTAGAATATCTTGTCTAAAATGGAGAAACAATAGTGATAATCAAACAAAGGAAGCATAATAACAATGTATAGAAAGATATCTTGATTGACAATATGTGAATTTTGATAAAATTCAAGTGATGACTATGGAAAGGACGCAGAAAGACCTTGTAACCAATCGACACGCTGTATGTAGTTGAAGAGGCTTTTATGTTACATGTGTTGTGTGTTTATTTGATAATAAAAACTTTATTTTAAAAAAAACGATATTGATATCACTCATGCATTAGACAGATACAAGACTAAAGAGACCAAGATTATGGGACATAAGAAACTGCCTTCTTCAGGAAATGCCAAGCTTGGTACTAATGAATTGGGTGGAGCTATATGTAGAGATTTTTTTTTGCTGCTGTGGGAATTCAAACTACAAATAGCTTTTACTTTGTCCTAATTCTACTTCTTTGGATTGTTGGAGATTTCATTCTTAAGGAAGGAAAAGTAAGAGTAAATATGCCATGATAAAAGAATGTAGTTCCTCAAAAGTGCTGAAGGTTATTTATGAATTCCTGGCCTAAGAAACTGTTCTTTAAATGAATCAGTTCATTTAAATGGTTATGTAGTAACTATGATGATCTATCATAAAGTGATTATATAGTTTAATATAGGAAAATGTATCGTATTTGTAAAGATAACAGCTTGAACTTTTAGAAATCAAAGTCAATTTTTTGGTAATATGAATCATTAAGGTAAACCAAAAATGCTTACCTGGTCAATGAATCCAAAACTATCACCTATATCTTCACTGGAAGAATCAGATTGCTCAATGTTGTTCCGTGATTGATATGACGCATATTTGCGCCTAAAAAGCCTTCTCTTAGATTCCATCAATGAATCTTCAGAATCACTCTGAATTAATGACATTTTGAAAAAGAAAATCAGGGGTTGAAATAACCATCACTGATAATGGATTGAGTTCAGACAGAAAGGAGAGATCTTTTGGACACTTGACTTCAAAAATAGTGTAATAGACTTAACTACTGGAAAAGCCAATTATGCACAGTTTTTGCCATTTTTATGATTTATTCTGATTCAATAAAGTACAATCCACAGCATGTATTCTTGCTTTCATAATAATTTTATTTAAATTACTCTTAGCTGCAATGATACAAATCTATTTCTTTTGCTAGACTGCTTTAAGTAATGTTAAATTCATTGCTTAAAGCAGCCGAGCAAAAGAAATAGATTTGTCTGGATTTTTAACTGCCATATTTTTTCATGGCAGTTTAACAAGCTAGGCTTTTAAATTACATCTGTGTGTAATTATGCGTTTCAAAAGTCATGGATTTCTTACCTTTTCTGAGGACTGAAACAGCTTCCTTTTCTGCTCTATTGTATACAGCCATTTTTCTTCTTCTCCTTTTGAGATCCTATATTCTTCCTGATTTCTAACATATTATTTTGAAAATTTGTCAGAAAAAACCCTCAAATATGAAAGTAACTATTTTATTTATTGCTAACATGTATCTGTAAGAGAACTAACAACTACAAATTAGTTTCCCTGATACAAAATGGTTCTTCAATTAATCTTAGCTTCATAGTTTATTTGACTAAAAAAGATGAAAGAAAATCCAACTCCAGGACTTTTCGATTTAGAATACCATAAAACCTGTTTTTCTTTTTACTGAAAAAGAATCGATAGCAAAGACTAGAAAGTGTACCTTTATAGTAATACAATTGTTATTATAAAATGATATCTAAATCAGCCCAAGAGATAAATAAAGCCTAAGAGCAACAATACTGTTGTATCAGTATGTGGTTACAAACTAAAATGAATGAGCAAGTGCTTATAGTTAGTTTCAACAGATTTTTAGCTTAATGAGTCTACTCACCTAAATATACTGAATGTTATTTCTGGAACAACTACTCTTCGTCTCCAAGCCTGAAGATCTCTTTCTGTAGCAATTTGACTTCTTGGAGCATTTTGATGCATCTGACGGACACCCTCAACTTGACCACTACGTCTCAGACCAATATTAGGAGGTGACTGAATATCTGAGCTTAGCCTGCGGAAATCTTTTAAAAGATTCATAAAAAATAGGTGAACATATATTCTTGGAACAAAAACTTTAGTATCTATATACCTATTACCGTATTCCAGCATTTATTTAATTATATTTTTATTGAAGTTTACAGATACGAAGATTAAAATGCTAATAAAAACTAATGCAAATATTTTAAAAAGTATAAGAGATAATAATTATTATAGAAATAATAATGAAGATATACAAAAAATAAACTTCTAAATTTTTCATCAAGTACAATTTCAGTAACATCTCTTTTTCTCTTCAATAATCCTCCCCCCCCCATTTTTTATAAATGAAGACAATCTTAAGAATACTTTTTGAGAGTATTGTTCCAATTCGAGGCATTTTTGCTTCATTCAGTATTAATGCATATCTTCAGCTTTCATTGTAATCTTAGCTCTTTCTCGTATCTTCTAATGTCAACCTTCAGTCCCCTTATCATGTCGTCCCCCCCCCAGATCATCAATATTTTCATATAGGAATGTTTTCTAAAGTTAATTTCAAAATTATATATTGGGCAGGGAGTTGGACTAAAAGTCCTCCGTTCCTTTTCAGTGTTATGATTCTATTATTTTAAGTCTTTCTCGCCCTTTAATCCATTTATAACTTTCCAAAATCAATTCTATTATCACCCTGTTGCTTTTATTGAAACTTTTTAAAGAAAATTTTAAGTCCTTACATTTGCATAAAACTTGTCAAGGATATAACCAATGCAGATTCATCCAGTACAATGACATTTGCCTTTCTAAAGGTTCTTGATATCCAAAAAGCTTTTAATAGACAATTTCCAAAAGTGATTGAGAAAGGAAGTATGGGAACCCAGTATCCTTTTAAAAGCTCTTAATCTCAATTTGGGCAGAGATGGCTTTCCCTCAGTTCCCAGGGCAATAAAACCATCAGAGGTCATTGTCTTATAGTCTTCTTATGGGAATTCACTGTATGGAGCACTTGTGGGCAAAGTTGACTCTTTCTTATTCTAGAGAGGAATTAATTACAGGTAGCTGATCCATTCAGAATTCATGTATTAGCAATTGTTCTGGATAACCAAATATAACCCTCCAAACACTGCAGTGCCTCATCTAAACAAGATAAAATGGATTACATTTTATATGGTATTAGTTAGAATGGCCAAATAGCTAATCTTTTTTTTTCAATTGAACAAGTAATAGTATCTGAACATTTGAAAAGAATTAAGAACCATGAACTCAACTCCAAAATGCATTTTTTAAAATATGGATGATTTTTTAACTTGTATTATGTATTTTCCCCATATTATAATTAGCTTAGCATTGAGCTAAGACTTTGGAATAAAGATTCAGACCATGCAAATAGAACATCTAAAGAACAATATGAAAATAAATATAAAGTACCGGGAGTAAAAATCACATCACAGAATATATAAAAGATTATTAACTACTGTAGTAGTTACAACAGAAATGTTAAAATTATATGACAAAATATTGCATGAATGAGTATGTAGTCCAGTTATTTGGATTAGGAAATAATAAAGTCTTAAGAGAATATCTATAAATAAAATTTAAAAGAAGATGAATCTTAACATTTTAGGAGTATTTCAAATAAAAGTATTTCAAATAAAAAATAAACCCAAAGATCAGGAGGCAAAAAGAAATACATTGTATAGTGAATCCAACAATCATGTCCCCCAAGAAACAAAGTGTTTTAATTGTGAAATATCCCCACTCAAATATAATATACTTCCGCTAAATATACTGGCATTAACATTCCTCCCTAAATCTGAGCTATGCTTTAAGACTGGAACAGTTTTCCCTCATAAAAATAAAAAAAAAACATTCTTTAGCACACTATGTAAATTATGTACTTTTAAGAATCTACAACATTCTAAAAGCCTTAGATTTTCAGAATGCAAACTGTGCCCCAACTTCTGTTGTTAACCCCCAGAAATTTCTCAAGATTACTGCAGCCTAGTATTACCATTATAGCACTTAGACTTATATATCACTCCACAGTGCTTTACTGTACTCTCTGAATGGTTTACAAATGTCAGCATATTGCCCCTAACAATCTGGATCCTCATTTTACCAACCTCAGGTTAAGTCAACCTTGAGCCAGTCAGAATCAAACTCCTAGCTGTGGGCAGTTAACTTGCAATACTGCATTCTAACCACTGCACCACCACAGACATACAAGAAGCTGGCAGTTAACAACAGAAATAAATATTCAAAATACTAGCAAATATTTAAAAACCTAAGAAACAGCAAAAATTAACTTCATTCTAAACTACCAACCTCTTCTAGGTGTTTCTTGTCCATAGTGTGGATTAGCTGAAACAATATCCTGGTCTATGCTAATTCTTTGATCCTGCAATTGTTGTAGCTGTCTAATCATGCCATCAAGTATGCTGGGCTCCAGATTCTGTTCATCCTGCTCAGCAGTCTGTTGTCCTATTACTTGCTCTATAACCTCTCCGTCACCTTGCAAAAGTTAAATGGAAATATTTCAGTATGAAAGAATTTTCAATAAAACCTGCCAATAGTATTGCACACTCATGTAATTAAAAGGGTTCATTTATACTCGAGAAAAGAATATACTCTTGATTTTTTGAACACACATCAAATGTCGATACTATGGGTTCACTTACAACCATACTTCCTTTATACATTAGGAGCACACAAAATTCTAATAACATTCAAATAGATATTATGAAGATTTTCAATCAACCAGGTCATGAGGTACTTTTTTAACAGGACTTCCTTTTTTTTTCTTGAAAACATTTTGCTTCTTATCCAAGAAGCTTCTTCAGAACTGGGACATTCAAATGATATGCAAAAATTCCAAAAAACCTGAAAGAAGATGCATTCTTCTTCAAAGAACAGAGAAGCCCAATTTCCTATTCAATATAAAATTTCAAATTAAAACATCCTGAACAAATTATTACATTAGAATGACATGTATCAGATATATAATATCTGGAGGTATACGATTCTCCATAACCTCAACAAGTACAGCTAAGTATAATGCACCTTGGCAACTGTACTTTAGAAGTATCTTTGGGACAGAACTTTCCTTTTTGCTAAAATGCAAAATGATTAAGTTGCCCTCTTGTCTAAGAGTAATATTCTTCATTTTTGTCAAGATGTAAGCAGGCAAATATTACTACAAAGACAATAGCTAAAAAAAACATTGTTAAAAGACCCTTCTTCCAAAGGCACATCAATGGAAGAAATAGTTTTTAATGTAAAAGCAAATGTGAATGATTATAATTTCATTAATGTGAGAACTAAATGTTCTCTTGAGAGGTACTTTTTCAAGTAACTTTTTTAAAGCCTTAACTATAAATCCAGCAAAGGAGACAGAACGATGGATGTGCAGTGTGCAAAATGTTTCAAGTTAAAATTTTGTGGCATCTGTTTTCAAGGTTGGAGCACCACTGGAATCTTTAAATAGCAGTCTGGCCAGTTAAAATGTCATATTTCATATTTCAGTTTCACAACTGAAACTTAAAAAGAAAAGATTTTGCATACTGCTGTATGTATAAGGGAGTTCTGAATTCTGGGGAAACCTATATTCATCTTGAGGATATAAAACATAGATCAGAATGTATTACAATAGCATTTTTGTTGAAAATTCCAAGACTGTCTCAGTAATATTAGTGAATATTATGAATATTGGTACCAACTCTAATCTAATTAAAGCATTAATATTTTATAGCTTGAATATCGTGAATGTAATACAAGTACATTTTGAAAACAATATATTTACATAACATTTTTATCAGGTTTCATCAATTCCAAAGATAAAAATTTTGCCATAGATTTAAATATTCCTTTCGTACTTGTTGCTATATAGCCCAGTTGAGGAATCAGATGTTCATCTGCACAATTCTCTCTTCCTGGTACCAATCGCTGGTACTTTGTTGGGTGGGGATTTCCATCTACATCTACCAAGAATGGAGGAGGCATGAGGTGGGGTGCCTGTTGTGTCTGTTCATCTAGGACATAATTGTTAGAATCTCGAATCAGTGGTCGATAGTCAGTGTGGAAGAACATCTGATCAGGAATCTAGAAAACAATGAAGCTTATATATAATTAACTTTATTAACTATATCTAAACTAGATATGTTACAGTAAAAACGAAAAAGGTAAACTTCATGAAAACTATAATTTATCTTATCAGAAATATTTAACAAATTTCAATCACTGGTTTCCTAAGAAGCACATTGTTTTCATAAGACTTATTTTGATCTAGTTCAATCACTAATACAAATTATTTTTTTAGCTATTCCTTTTGCAAAAGATGCTTCTCTATGTTCTCTTAAATCAATATCCAAAAACGGCAATATTTTACTATAATTCCAGTCTAATTTTTTCTTCACTCTTTGGTGTAATATTTGAGACTTTCAAGGTAAAGATTTTGTTTTGCAAAACAACAGACTGGGCATCTAAGCATAAGAAATGTTTAATCTGTGTTTACTCAAAATATAGCTGAATTGTCTGTGTTATACACAAAGGGAAATTGGTGAAATTGTTACTTTTCATAAATTAAATTTTTGTATTTAAATATTAACACAAAGGATTAATAGTTTAGCAACAATCTCAATAATTTCTATCATTTAGAAACAAAAGAAAGCCCATCTTTGAGACTAGAGAAGGCAACTACTTGCAGTGATGGACGTTCGTTCTTATTTTTTTAAAGGCAATGTTGTTCATTTCTCCATCCCTCTACAGACTACAAATTAAACTACAGTCTAATTACCAATTCAGCTTTTGCTGAATGTATGCACATGAAATAAATGAATATATGACAAGATTGGTGAGCTTAGAACATTATATATTTTAACAGCTAAAAAAATTAAGCTGTAAGAATACCTTTTCATATGATTTGTTACAACCAAACCCAAATATCAAGAGATGTCCATGAGAATCTGTACAGGTAAAATGCTGGCCATCTGATGAAAATTTGCAGTCAAACACAGCGCCATGTCCTTGACCTTCAATCTAAATAAAAATAAAAATAAAAACTTCCCTCTATAAGTTATAAAAGCTTATAGCTTTTCAGATGAAGTCTTATCCATCTGTAACTAACGACCTTTGCCCCATTAGCACAAAATGTGCATCTCAGCAAGCAGCTAAGATTAGTAAAAAGAAATCAGTCAAATTACTTAAAAATAATGGATGGCAAGTCAAGTTGAAGGATATATTGGCTAATTACAATTGTCTAATTGGGCCACTTCAGCTTTGTTTATTATGCCACAGCCAGACAATATAAATGTATCATGTGTACAGTTCAATTACAAATGCTAAGAATGAATAATTTAAAAGTATTTTAAAAATGAATAATTAAGAATGAATGCTAAGAAGGTATTGGTATCTGAACCACTATTATAACTTATATAAAGAGAATCCTATTTCCTGCTCAAACATTGAGTGATTAAATTGAAAAATAACAAATGTAAAGATTCATTTGAACATATCAGACCTATGGTAGCCCAGAGTCATTAAATGAGATGGGCAGCCATAGAAATTGGGCAAATAAAAAAATTAAAAATGCCATTCTTTTATATGCCAATTGTGCATTTCATAATAGAGTCACAATCATTCTTCAACATGGTGTTCCATTAGAGCACAGCTAGGATAACTTTGGCCTTAGGCTTAAATTTCATTGCAGTCTAATTTCAAAAATCTTTTAAATGTAACCATACCACTAGCAAGAACAGTATTTTCTTTCTTACAGGAATCCTCAGATAAAGAAAAGGGAGAGTAGATATGAATTCTAATATTAATTTATACTGGCATATATACACTTTACTGCCTTTTAGTTTAATTAGGACTAACGTCAAAGTGAGAATAACTTCAGGAGTCAGTAAAAGACAGGGGAAGACTGGCTGTGATTCATGGGGCGGCAAAGAGTCAGACACCGCTTAGCGACTGAACAACAACATGATGAGAATTGGTTTTTTTAAGTATTTGTGGTCCTGGAATAAAACTTTTATCAGATAAATAACTCCTCAGGCTAGAACAAGGGTGTCAAACACAAGGCTCGCGGGCTGGATTCAGCCCACAGGGTACTTAGATCTTGCCTGCGAGGCCACCCTGGGAGCAGCAAAGGACAGTCCTGCGGTGCCTTGGCCTGGCCCAGGCTGACTGGGCAGTGATCTACTACCTGGTGGCGGTTGGCAATGTGCTGGTGGAGGCCTTGGCAGCTGAAAACTTGTTTCCTCCTCTTGACCTCTACTGGTAGTTTCCCATCTATCACTAAAAATGCTTTGGTTGCAAAGCCATGTCTCCTCGTGTGGAGAGGGTATGGGCCTTCCTCTGACCCACATACCTTGTCCTCCTGCACACACCATGATCAACCTGACCAAGGAGAGTGAGCACAGCAGCAGGAGCCTCAGGGAGGTGGTAAGCACAACCTGGCACACCTTCAGGGAAATGGGATGGGATGGGCTTTGGAACCCCAGTGCCCTGGGAATTTGAGGGCTGGGCTAGCCATTTGCTCTCTGCTGCCTCGGGCTCTGGACAGTCTGCACTGCCATCCGGGGGTCCTCCTGAGAGGGATGGCGAGGCTCCTCTGGAGGACAAAGGTTTGGCCCTCTCCCTGATTTCGTCTTCCTCTGCTGGAGACAATGGATCCCCCCCCCCCCGGCCCCACTTGGGCCACCACAGGTACTCCTGACATGATGACACTGAGCTGGTGATACCATCCCGGCCACGGCCACCCGGTCTCCCAAGGTCAAATACAAACCTGATGCGGCCCTCAATGAAATAGAGTTTGACACCCCTAGTCTAGAATAATAAACTTTGACTTTTTAATAATTAGTCATTGCAAGTCTATACAACTGGCAATTATTATTGATTAAATTATTAATACTTTAAATCTGATGTGCACTTAGAAATAAAATTGGGAAATTGAATTGCCAAAGTGAATTATAAGATTAAACTTTTTTAAACAAAAATTTTACATTTCCTACTGGAATTGAGAACACTATAGTCTTTTCAAAAATCCTCCTTCCTAGATTAAATTAGCTGCCTGGTGTTTTTAAGAAATAATTATTTAAGTGGCAATAAAGCTGAAGGTAGTAATTTTAAAAAATGCATGCCTTGCTAAAACAATACTTTTAGAAATAATATTTACCATATTAAAATAATGTTTCATTTGAATGCCTTTTTCTATATCCCAGATAAAGATATTGCCATCATGGCCTGCAGACAACATAATCCTGGAATCAAATGGATGGGGCTCCAAAACAAACACTTCATCTGCATGTCCCTTTTTGAATAGAAATTAATATATTAGTCATAGAGAAAAGTGGATTTTTCATTATTAATTGTTAAATTGCAAATAAATATCTATGGATTCTCAGTCAACCAGGTCATGATTATCTCAAAGGTGCTTTTTTCAAAAGGCAACTAGACTGTCTTTGTTTTTTCTTGAAGACGTTTCATTTCTGATCCAAGATGCTTTAGTTCTGACTTCTTCTTTTGCCTTTTGAAAAAGCACCTTTGGGACACCCATGTCCTGGATGTCTGAGAATCTCAAGACAATTTATTTATCCATTTATCCAAATTTAATATCCAAAAAGATTCTGAAAACCCCATCTTTCTGAGGCATAGGGATAAACCATCATTGAAATTTTGCTCTGTTACATATTAAAGTGTAAATAAAAGGTTCCAAAATTGTCCAAATGTTGGCTTTCCTTACCTTCAAGTAAGCATTTTGTTATTTTATTTAATAAAGCCATATCTCATTTTTGCTGCGTTTTTCTTTAAACAAAGGTTAATATTAACTTCAATTTGGTGCTATCATTTCTAGTCTCATTTCTAGTGCCATTCACTACTAGCCACTTAATTATTCATGTTTGTTTCAGCTTTCTTAACACAGTGTCCTAGAAATATATCATATTTTAAGAAAATATATCTAATATTTCATCCAAGGAAAAAATATAGGAAACAGAAATTTTTACTTACTTTGAGATCATGTAAAAGCTGCCCAGAAATAGAATTCCACACTTTGAGCAGATGATTGTTCACAGCAGTAACCACTACATTATCGTTTCGACTCCAAGCTATCATAGTCACTTTGGGTTTCATAAATTTATCCTCCTCTGAACACAGGTCACTGCTTTGAATGAATCCAAGTAAACATTTAAATACAGTATTCTGCATTTCAAATATGCTATTTAATTCGTGCTGGGAGAAACAGGCTGATTGTCTCCTACTGAGGTATTGTTCCTCTATTGTTGGCCCAGCAATCTACAATGGCCTCCCACTAGAGTTGTACTTGGCCCCAACTGTGGTCACCTTCTTGAAATTTCTTAAATTGGAGTTTTTCTGGAGCACTAACCTAACAAGTTTATCTATTTTGGTTGTTGGTTTTATTCTATAAAAATATTTTATTTTTATGTTTGTGAGCTATGTAAAGAGTCAATGTACAATTGTGATGAGCTATAAATATGACAAAGAAAGTTTAAAATATTAATATAGAAATCACTCTACATTGGGAATATGTTTACAAAAAGGGCCATACCAAACTTTTCTACAAATACCAAACTATATTAACCTAGTTATTTTAAAGTAAACTGACCTTAACCCTTCCACCAAACTATATCCTTTAAAAAAAAGCATTTTTCCCAAATATTTAGAAGGTTCCTGCAAATTACATAGTGCAATGTTTTTCAAATTAATTTAATGCTGATACTATTCACAAATAAGGTATGACTACCTTGGTAATTTGTCAGCCATATCCAACAAAATGCTCTTCCACTCTGCTTGCTGAAATCGCCAGATTCGGGCTGTTCCATCTCTGCTGCCACTTATGAACCTTAATGTAAATGTAAAAGAGTATGTGACATACAAAATAGAAATCATTCGTTCATATTTTAAATAGCATCTTTCTGAAATGCTGAATCCATGCTATCGCATATATAAAATGTAATTAGAGCAATACCTCCCACAAAATATGATATTTAAATGTTTATTAAGAACAGAGATCTTTGTTATATATTTACAGCTCACCAAATCATATAGTAAGGGCCTACTAACAATTTGTCTATTGTAACAAATGCTCTGAACCCCAGTCTACATATTCCTATATCAGTAAAGAGTAGATAATCTCCTGAGCCATTATTTGTTTCTCTCTCAATATATTTATTTCTATGCTGTTCACAGGTTGGCAGCTGCAACTCTGAAGACAGAAAGGGACAAATAAACCCATACACACATTAAAGTACAATACTTGCTATGTGAGATCCAAGCATATGGGCATCTCATTCCTGTACCTTCTTCTACAATAAGCACAATATCTTCTAAAACTAGGTTGTCCAAAACTCCCATTGTGGAGGTACATACAGTGTGTGTGTGTGTGTGTATGTAAATGGATAAGTTTCTTTGATAGATCTTACTACTATAAATGAATAACCGTCTGTCTTCAATAAAAGTTGCTTCTCCCAAACTACAAGTTATTTCAGCAAAATATTCAATAAATTATAATTCAATTCTGAGTCATATGAATATCAAACTTGTTTTCTGGATGAATACTCACAATCATTGTATTTAATCTATATGCTACTTTCTGTCCGTTCCCCCCCCCCCCAAAAAAAAAATCCATAGAGAACTTATATCTTCTATGAATGTCAAAACAATGCTAGCTTAATTGGCATAATTTATTTAACAAAACAATCTTTATAAAAAATACCTGTCATCTCTGTTTGAAAACTGAATACTGTCAACTTTGTCCTGAAACAAGAAACATGTGTTAAAATAAAATTCAGGCAACATGTGTTCAAATTTGGAAAAAGTCCTACTTTTATTTAATGAAAGCAAAGTAAGATCATGGTGATAACAGGATTGTCTATATATAGTAACAAAACTGAATTAGTGTCCAGGTATTATTTATTTATTTTTCACTCTCTTAGATTCATAATATATTGAATATGAATATGAAACTAACAATTTTTTGATTAAAAAAAGATAGAATTCAGCATATTGTGAGCTTCATCAGAAGGAATTAAATATGCTTTGGAAATCTTCAAATTTTGCATGAAATCACAAACAACTGACCAGGCTTTGAAAGCAAAAAGCTTAGATCCAGTGGCCATTTTCACTGTCACCTTGAGTTCCTTGGTTAGACATCATACTATCTACTTTTCCCCTGCAATGGCTAATCTGTACTATATCTTTCCTTGACAACTTTAAACCAAATATTGGGGGGGGGGGGGTTCCAAACACCAGACTTTGAACCAAATGCTTTCTATTTAGCCAGGAGCAAGAGGCTAAATCAAAATCCCACTCCATTATCTGTTTCAAGGGCCTCCCTATAGAACACAAAAACATGTAAGTTTTGCTTCAGCAGCAATCCCAGTATAAATATCTTGTTTGTGAGAAGGCTTTTGAAACTGCAAGAGCAATCAGATCCTCAATAACCACGCTTAGGTTTTGAAAGTTGGACAGCATACAAGTTTAATAATTATGAATGAAGCTGCTCTGCACGGGATTAAATACCATCAGTATGCGGATGATACCCAGCTGTATCTGTCCGCCCCATGCCAACTCAGTGAAGCGGTGAAAGTGATGTGCCAGTGCCTGGAAGCTGTTAGGGTCTGGATGGGATTGAACAAGCTTGCACTCAACCCCGACAAGACCGAGTGGCTTTGGATGTTGCCCCCCCAAAGAAAGTCCAGATATTCCATCTCTAAACCTGGGGGGTGAAATTTTACACCCCTCAGAGAGGGCCCGCAACTTGGGTGTTCTCCTGGATCCACAGCTGACACTAGAACATCATTTGTCGGCTGTGACCAGGGGAGCTTTTGCCCAGGTCCACCTGGTGCACCAGTTGCGGCCCTATCTGGACCGGGAGGCACTCCAAATGATCACTCGTGCCCTCGTCACCTCAAGACTCGACTACTGCAATGCTCTCTACATGGGGCGGCCCCTGAAAAGTGTTCAGAAACTACAGTTGGTCCAGAATGCAGCCGCCTGAGCGATACTGGGTGTATCGAGGTACACCTATGTGTCACCTATCCTCCGCGAGCTGCACTGGCTCTCTATTGGTCTCCGAACACGCTTCAAGGTGCTGGTTATTACTTTTAAAGCCCTACAAGGCTTAGGACCTGGATATCTCCGTGACCGCCTCCTGCCACATACCTCCCAGCGTCCGCTAAGATCTCACAGGGTGGGCCTTCTCCGGGTGCCGTCAACTACACAATGTTGACTGGCGGCCCCGCGGGGGAGAGCCTTCTCTGTAGGTGCCCCGGCCCTATGGAATGATCTACCCCCTGAGATCCGGACTCTCCCCACTCTCTCGGCCTTCCGAAAGTCTACTAAGACCTGGCTGGTCCGGCAGGCCTGGGCCTGTTGATCCTCGACTGAGTTCCAGCCCTACTAAGAATTGAATATATGTTGTGTTCTTTTAACCTCTTTGTTTGTACTTTAAATTTTCTAGTATTTTTAACTGTTTTTTATGTGAGCCGCCTGGAGTCCTTCGCGATTGGGCGGCATACAAATCCATTAAAATTAAAATTCAAAATTCTGCATTCACATATTAAATGTGAAACAGTTTCAACTTTGTTGTTGCAAAGTTGGCAGTTTGGATTGCCAGTTGATTTTTGTATCTTTGTTTTCATGGTATTAGTTTGTAGTGCTTGAGCAGCCAGTATTAAACCTTCCATTTCTTTCTTGATGGTTCCCATCTTAAGCCATGTCCATGTGAAGTTGTAGTCACATTTACCTTCAATGTTTTTCAAGTGCCGTCCATGGAAAGCGTTGGTTTTCTATTTAATCTGTCATCCAGTTGTTTTTCCTTATATTCTGCCTTTGTTTCTGTTATTTTTATACTGTTCTCC